TGTCCGGACGCTTATTTCAGCGCTTGAACTCATGTCATACGGCGATGCCATAACTTATCTGGAGAGCATGCGCAATAGACTAGAATAACCGGACGCTAGAAATTTCTATTTGGTTGAGACTCATGCCGTATTTCGCTGGACCTAACTGATTTGAAATTAGTCAAAACGGAAACAATTGAATGTAAATCAGTTCATATACAATCGGATTACATTATTATATGCGTTGCGAACCATTTGGTTCAATTTCTAGGTCCCAAATATTAGCGATTTAGCTCCTTTAAGTGCTTAGAGCTTACTGTTATGTTAAAAAAAACACCATTTCTTTTATATCCAGGAGACTGTTTCTTTAAATCAGGCCTATTGAAAACTTAATCATGTAAACTTATCTTCATAAATGAAAAGTGGAAATACTTCAATCAAGACAGCTAGCCATTTTTTTTATTTTCTTATGAGACAAGATATTTTCAGTCTTTCATAAAAAATTCTTAAGATTAATTTACATGGAAGTGCATTTATATTACATGTTAATCAGTAAAACGTCAAAAATAGAAGCCAGCAAGTTGAATTACGTGATTTCACTATGGACGTCAAGACATGATGTTGAAAATAAAAAAATATTCTTGACAGGTCTTTTATTCTTTTCTTAGTCTTAATCATTTATTCCAATTGAATTTAAGCTCGACTGGGTCTATAACATGCTTTATACCGCCTCTACCATTCAATCATTCATTTATAACACTGACTGATTACTGAAAGTCAACTTGAAAATAAAGCGTCAAGAATCAAGATTAATAAACATCCTAGCAAAGAAATTATTGATTTCCATCATTTATAGGACAGATCTACATTTAACATCTAGATATTTACTTTCCTTACTTCAGTATACAGATATGAAGATGTATAAACACGAATATCATTATCACACAGTGGGTATAAAGTATAAATTGACATAATTCCTTTATCTCTCATCTAATGTCAACAATATCAATAATCATGAGAGAATGACCTTAAAATTATGATTAGCATTCATGTGAGGACCATTTGGTTTATTTGGAAAATGTTGTCTCTAAAAGATATAGGGCTACGAGAGAGGGAGAAATGGGGTTTAACGTCCACTCGACACAAACTAGGTCATTTCAGGACTAACATATGGTTTAATTTAATTTCAATAATTCGCTTGCGAGTAGGGGTCTTGAACAGTGGGAGGAAACCGGAGGACCCGGAGAAAACCCACGAGGTTGGACAGGCGACCCTACTCCTTGTCACGTACAACCAGGTATTTGAAACCACGCCAGTTGACTCAATGACAGGCCTTATGATACAACACGCACGTGCTAACCATTTGGCCAGTTTACTGAATTATACAAGTATATGTACATATGTATAAACTATAAGTTAGATACTTTCAATATCTATGTTAAAAGATTCACTATTTACATGTATTATGAAATTGTGTTGAATAATTGATACAGAGTACTGTTCAACTGAATCGGTATTTTTTTTTCAAACAAATGCATCAACATCACATATCTTTTGACATGTTTTTGAAGGTACAGGAATACTGAGCTCTGTGTTATTGGTAATCAACAACCAAATACATGTACATGTACAGTAAAGTATCAAATACCGGACTGTAATTGTATGAGCACTACATGTACAGTCTACATACTGGTATATGTACGGAAAAAATTAAATTCATATTTAAAAGTTTCATAAAGATATCTGAATGCTTTCAGAGATAAAAACAAAAATCATTAAATCTAACAAGTTCTTTTTGGCAAAAAGCATAACTATAGTTTGAATACTTTGTTGTGTGCCCAAAATCTGTCAAAGATACATTACATGTATCTTGACCGCTTCCTGATATCTGCTTCGGAAACTAAGCTTTGACGAAAAGATAGAGCCCATTTTGATATCCCTTCCCACCCCATCTCCCCACCCCACTTAATTTCCTAATTCTGTGTAGGATTAAAAAAAAAAAATAATAAGTGGATACACACCACTACCATTTTCATTTCGTCACAAATAAGAGAACAAATCAAGTTTTCAAGTGAAGTGAGAAAATACATGTACTATAACAATTATTTTAAAGGGGCTAACAGTAACAACATTAAACAGGTATGAAAACAAAGTGATCAAACGTACATGTACTACATGGTGCAGCCATATCAAGGTCTTCTACGCACAACTTCAATGTCAACAAATTGATTTTCCCTACAATGTCAAGTTTCCATGTAAATTAAAGATTTAAGAATGACAAATTTGTCTTAGCATTGACTAGAATGAACATACATTGTCATCTAGTCAAATTTTTCCTTCGTGAAACTGAGGCATTTTCTAGTGGCTATTTCAACAATTACTAGTTTTCGTATTTCTTGGGACAAATATTTATGAAGAATGTCAATTCAATGTAATTCTTTACACTACTGTACAATATCAAATATATTTGCAAAGTATGTATCTATTCTTTTTTTTAACATTAAAAAAACTTAAGTTTTCTGCGAATAAATATTTTAAACACACTTTAATCTGGAAATTGTAGGTTTCTGCAGAGTAATCAGCTAAAATAAAACTAATAAAGCTATCTACATGAAATAAAGACATACTCCAACAGATTTTATTAGCTATTGTATCTGAGTTATCGTTTGCAAATTGATGGACAAATGTATAATTATGTTTCCTTTCTTGTACTGCTACATAAATGCCTATATTATGTACTGGTGCATGCCCCCAAAGAGGGTTTTATCATTTTAAATCAAAGAATTTAAAAAATTCACTGCAGTTACTTTTACTATATTGGGATTCAAGTTTATTATTACAGTGATACATTGTAATATTGTCAAGGTTTCAGTGCAACTGCTCGCTCAATATAATATTATTTTCATTCTTAAGTCTTAAGATACAGCTAAAATAACTAAGAGTGACACTGAAAGTCAAGGTCAAACCACGCGAACAGCAACAAATTTCGATCACAAGACAAAAGATAGGTTGACAGGCAATGAAACATACTCCCACAGCAGGTAAAAAGTCTGAGTGGTCAACAGGTGTTGATAGTTGGGAGGGGGGTTTACAAGATAATTTCACCATACAGATCAGATTATAATTAATTTAAATAATGCATATAAATATACAGATTGGATGATGACATTTGTCATTTAAGCGTTCACAATATTCAACAAAGTAAAACAAGGGCCATAATTCTAGAAGAAATTTACGGAAATTGCAGAAATTCAATAGACTACTTCGTTTCACTAACTCAAATCATGCATATATAAATGTCATACAGATTGGATGATACATGTAACTTTTGTGGACCGGTTCAACACAGTGAAACAAGGCCCATAACTCTAGAAGCAATTAACGTAAATAGCTGAAATTCAATAGATTTCGTTTCACTAATTTAAATAATGCATATAAATTTCATACAGATCAGATGATAACTTTTTTTAAGAGCGATCAAAAGGTTCAACAAAATGAAACAAGGGCCATGCCTCTAGTTTTTTGTTTCACTAATTCAAATAATGCATATCAATTATACAATATCATGCAAATTGGATGATAACTTTTGTCATTCAAGCGTTCACAATGTTCAACAAAGTGAATCGAGGGCCATAACTCTAGACTTAATGAACAGAAATTGCTGAATTTTCATATGCTTCTTCGTTTCATTAATTTAAAGGATGCATATAAATTTCATACAGATCAGATGTTAATTTGTGTTGTTAGGGCATTCAGAAGGTGCAATAAAGTGAAACAAGGGCCATAACTCCAGAAGAAATTAACGGGAATTATTGAAATTAAATAGGATTCTTCACCTCAGTAAAGTAAACAACATATATCAATTTCAAAACAATCAGATGATAAATGTAGTCTGTACAGTGTTCATGAGAAAGTGTGGATGCTGGACCAACGGACGGACGGAGTCGATGGCAATATTACGACCACATTTCCATGTGGGTGTATAAAAACAACAAATCCAAACAACGAATGTACAGGTAATGTCATATTTTCCAGAAATGTGAGGCCTGCCAAGTCAGTAAATTTCAAGGAATAAAAAATTAATAAATTTCAACCCATACTATAAGATTCCATGGAATTGGATTTAAAGTTCCAGGCTCCAGGCACTACATGTACAATGTACATTCACTTTACATGAATTTACAATACAAAGAGTGTTGACATCTAAAAATAGTTCTTAACAGTCTTAGGCAACCAACCACTTGCTTTGCTAGTAGTAGTAACATTATACATTAACTTAAGGGAAAATCTATTAATAGATATCTCACATGACAGTACAGGTAGATTATAATGAACAAATTTAATGTTATACATCAATGCCTTTAACACTTTCTTTCATTCTGGGCTTTAGATCACACCAATTTTACAATTCTATATGCTATTGCTACTCATGCCAAAATCAATAATCTTAATTACTAGAAAGGGAATGTAACATATATATATATATATTTTTTTTTTTGTCAGGGGATGGTAAATCTAAATGTAATACAGTTTATTATATTATTACATTGTATGTTGGTAAATTGTATGTAGATAAAATTACACATCCTCATTCATGTCTGAACACAAGCGGACATATAAAAACTACTGTAGTGACAAGTGTTCAAAGTAAATCTAGTTTCAGCTAGTTTTACTGTAATTCATAATTCTTTTTCAATTACAAAATAACATTTTCCCAATCTATACTATGTTCATGTATACTTTAACTGTGCTGAATACAGAGTACATGCATGTACAATTCTACTCTTTAGTGAAGGTATTTATTTTCTGTAAAATAAAAACTACAAGCTACAGGCATCTTTATCTGTGTAAGAAACCTGACTATTTTTGTACAATGTGTAGCCTCAGGTCTCAGCAGGACAACATTAGGAAAGACACCAATAGAATGGAATGCTTCTTATTGGTATAACATTGGCACATTTCTACTACCAGGTACACAGTTCGAGCAGATATAATGTTTATTATCATAGGAAATAAATTACCTGCTTGTCCAAGCTGTTTATAAAACCTATATTCCAAATGTAATTGAGGGGCTCTGGATTTCATGGGTTCCTAAAATATATAAACCAATTTATTTAATATAAGTTTTTTCAAAATGTGATAAAATAAGATAAATAGCTGGTCGTTCTTGTTATAAAAATTCCAAATTACTTTATTCTGAGTGATCTTATCACTGTTTGAAGTTTAGAACTTAGATTATTTATTGTTAATCGAGACTCAGCCTCACTTCTCCATGTTTAAATTACATCATTAAATGGCAATCATACTTTAATCTGTTTACATCTGCACCATCCGATGTTCTAGAGAGTAAATTGTCGACTTGGCATGTGAATAAAAGTCTAAATAATAATTTGAACCCAAAATACAACCCTGTAATACACAGATTTAGCTCTTACTACTCTAACATACTGCATCTTTAATACAAATAGTTGTTTTGATAGTGAGTTACATTCATAATATTACTAAAATATTAGATTAATGATGAGCCAACAGAATGTTAATGGTAGATGCGGCTGACTTAAAACTTAGACTTACATGTACAGGTACGTATGTACTGTAAACAAAATAATTAAATGATCCAATATCAGTTCATTACATTAAAAATTAATTTAACAAAATTTTAATCTTTTCTATTTTGGGAGCTGTTGTATTTTTAATATGACTCATGACTTCATGGACAGGTTTTCTGCATACTGTGACAATGTTTATTTTAAGTTGGGTTGTAAAAATATTTACAACCACATGTACACTGTATTACACATTTCCATGTACATGTACATCATGTAAACTCGAGTGAACAGAAAATCATTTTCTAAACTTTAACAATGCATCACACAGCTGTGTACTCTTGCTTCATCCACACTACAACTACAAAATTCTGGGCCAATTAATATTATGGCTTACATGTACATGTAGGAAAGACAGATAATAAAATGTTCCTGACACCAGGTCTCTTGATGAAGCCTAGGAATTTTCTATCAAAAGTTTTGATTAATCTTACATGTACCTGTCTAACCCATGTGGTTTCTGTAAATCCCCTGTTATCCTATTTGCTAAAGACATGGACACACAAGTGCAAGAATGAAATTATAATACACCAGAATAGCATAGTTATGTAATGTGGACTTCAATCCCATTTTCCCTGACGGAGATCAAACAACTTACTAATTAATATGGAACACAATGCAGGTATAATTCTAATTTGGAATATTTTCGATAGAATTTACTTCTTATGTCTAGCTATAATATTCCTTACCAAAAAAAAAAGTATATGTACACCACATAAAATATCGAAACATGTACAGTACTTACCAATTTGATTGCTACATGCTCGTTGTTGTAGAGGTTCTTCCCTATAAAAGAGAACAATTCAGACTGGAGTCATTATTCCATACACAAGAATTAAGAGTATCACTATTAAAAAGCTAAAGAGACATTATGCGAGATTTCAAGAAACAGCTGGCTGTTATTTCTATAATAATTCAAAAATAGATAATGAAAAATAAATATATATTATATTTCTGTCATATTACCTTATTTTCAGCAATGCTGTGAATAACACAAAGTTGTGAAGGTTGTAAGTTTCAAAAAGAAATGGTCTTAAATTGCCTATCATTGGCTGACAGAAACTACACACACAGTTCATATTCGACTGTCAAGTACCATTCCCTTGATAATATGAAGTTTCTATTGTCAGTCCTTTTATAGTCAGTCCTGCATTAATTGTAAATTTTGACCTGGTCAGCAATATTAGCGTTTAATTGTCTAATATACGTAATTTGACGGTCAAGAGAGTTGATTATGGGCTTGTCACGAAAATAAATGTCTAAAAATAATAATTTATATGTATACAACATTCTGAATTCAGAAAAATGTTCAGCAGTGTGTAAATTTAGCTCTGGCATATGAAATCGCCCCTTTATATATAGAAGTTTAAAATTACAACACTAGAAACAGTAGCAGTAGAAGTGATTTATGTAGGTCAAAAACTATATTATAGTAACAGAATCCCAAGGTAGGTACAAGGGGTGTTCCAAAAGTTGTTGCCAACCTCACTTCCAACTTAAAAGGGATCTTTTATGTGCACGACAATGTGTACATACATGTACATGTAGCACCTGTTTTCTGTACGGTACCATCCAAACGACTAGACATCTGTCCTTGTTCTGCAGAACTAAAGAGAGAACCTCTGTTTTCTTGGAGTCTGAGGGCAGTGAGGGCATAATCATGATAAGATTATCTAACGAAGGGTTTGACCATAAATGCCAAATCGTGCATATTACGTAAATAAATAACGCAGGTTGTGTGTGATTAAATAAAAGTAAAGTGCTGAGGTAAACTTTAGCCACGGTATCAGGCTTCTCTAGGACAATGTTCCAGATCAAACCGCCCAGGTACATGTAGCAGTAAACACTGCTCAGGAATGTACATGTAGCTTCAAGGTCCTCCGTGACCCAGCCTATTCTCCAGATCTAGTTCCTTCTTGATTTGTTCCTTTATCCACAACCCAAATCTGTGATGAGGTCATCACTGCCTTGGGGGCGTTGTTAAGGTCACATGACAAGCAGTGGTTTTCGGACTAGTTTTATATTCTGGAGAAATTGTAAAACAAGTGCACTGGAGTAAAGGGGTATTATGTTGAAAATAAGCACAAAAGATTTTGATATAGAGTGTATGTCCTTTTGGGAAACCCCTGGGCCCTTTTACATTCAGACCTAATATAGTAATCTTGTTAAAGCAAGAACTAGCATTCAAAGCCAACGTAACAGTTGATCTTGCAATTATGACACTGACAATTTTAATTTAAAGAGAGTGATGGCTTTTTTGTCAGTTTCTTACTGATTTATTAAAATGACTCAGCACCGGATTTACACGTAGTTGAAGAGAGGCCCTAGGATATTCCACTTATGAGGCCTCTCCCAACCAAGCCCAAATACCCCACCCTCACGATCATAGGAAGATGAAAGTATGTTTTAAACACAATTAAGCAAAAGCCAAGGATAAAGGCAGATATTTAAGACTATAGGGTGTGTAATAAAGGTTTCTGACAATGGCAAAATTTTTATACACATGGCTAGGGTGTTGGCATACTTAATTATTTGCTCCAAAGAAGATTAAAGAACAGTGATAAATTTTTGTTCACCAATCCTATTATCCTACATCACAAAAATGGTTGATTATTGTGTCGCGATCATAGAAACCCCAACAGAAATGGGATAATTATACATCTACATAGAGAAAAAAGCTCCAACATTCAAATGTTAATGGGCAAAAGAAATTTATTACGTAAAGAAATATGCGAATATGAAATGAAAACAAAAAATACAATAAAATACAGCATTCAGCAGTAGCGAATTTACATTTGTAAGAATCCACCTAACTGCAGCAAATGGAATGTCATGTCCCAAAACTGCCATGCTAATTATCTAAAGAATGGAATGAAACATACTATTTAAAGGGTTGGCACAATCCACTGTCAAAATTGAATTGGGATAAACGGTCATGTCTCAAAAAACAACTAAATCAATTGCGAAGTTTTATAATAATCCTCAGTTAATCCCCCAAAAACATGTAATTGTATAATAATGCAATCGGCCTTTGATATTTCCAGGATAACATTAATCAATTTGTAATTTTCATTAATCCATCATGTGATTACACATACTGGTAAACCGGACACAACATACTCAATGCAAGTTTTGTGTAAGGTCAGTAGTCTTTTACATGTATTCCAAATTATACCTGTGGTAGGCATTCGTGATTATCCAGAAACTGACACAATAATTTAGTTTATCACTAAAGAAAACAAGAACATTTTTAGCAAGACAGAAAGCCCTCACCTGATTTGGAATTTAGTTCCAGAGATATTTTTTGGTCCTCTGCTAAATCAAATCGAAACCCTTCATAAGTAGAGCGATCAGGAAATTTTCAGGAAACAACCCCCACCCGTTCCGAATCACATTTCTTTTTGAAATTAGCTATGGCACACATCGATAGCCAATACAATTTTTGTTAAAAAATGTGCTACAATAATGTATATATGTTTTATAGGATGTACAAATTGAAATCCAAAGCAGCTCGCAACAAGATCTCCTTTGGGGGGCATATTGGGCAGGTCACATGATTGAACATGGTTAATGAATGATGAATATCAGCAATTAAAATGGCTTCCCACATAAACTCTCAAAGTAAGCTGATTAGGATTACCATCCGTAGCCCTTTAATTTCACCTTGCAAACTCACTTTGCATATTTATGCATGTAACATTTATTGGGCATGACATGTGATTGTGCAACCATAAACTCTCGAAGCAATCCGTAGCCCTTTAATTACACCTAGCAAACTCACTTTGCATATTAATGCATGTAAGTAACATTTAAAATATTGGACATGTCAAGTGATTGTGTACTGCAAATGAATGATGAATATCAGCATTTAAAATAGCTGACCCCCTAACATCTCGAAGCAAGCTGTCTTGGATTACTATTCACAGCCCTTTAATTTCACCTTGCAAACTCACACTGCATATTAATGCATGTAACATTTGATAAAATAAGATAATTTTATACAAGTACCGGACCAGTACAGCTATTTAGACAGTCACATTAGTTCACTAGTTGTGCATAACAGCAGATATTATTGTTAAGTCAAGGGATCTTTTTCTATTCTGTATGAGACCCGCCATCAGGTTGGAGTAGTCTCTTCTGCTTTCGCCTTGAAAATGTCTACATTGCCCGTTTCGACTGATATTAGGTCAATTGAGCCCTTGTCAGGTACAGTAGTACATGTATCTGTATTAAGCAGCCACTCTAGAAAATTTTCATGACTGACCCCTAATAATGGGAATGACCTCTTAATAAAATCTCAGTGCTGACATCAAGTAAATTTTACGCTTCAATGTACTGGGAGCAAACATCAAAACTTGCATCAAAAAAATTGGCCGTCACTGAAACTTGATTTGGAATGAATATTCTTTGATTCAGATCTCTGATATAACTTCTGTATACATGTCAATTGGTAGTTGGTACCAACATTTATACTTCTGTCTACCATTGTGATGTATTCGATATATTTATCCATTTTTGTAAAGGAAATCCATGAATTAATTTTATTTGATCAAAAAAGCACATGTCCAAAATTGCTGAATTTTTCACCAATTTTCAGGGGGTGTAACTCTTTATGTAATATAGGATGTTGTTTAACAAGAGAGAGAAAGAGAGAGAAATGGGGTTTAACGTCCACTCGACACAAACTAGGTCATTTCGGGACTAACCTATGGTTTTGATTTTATTTTAATAATTTGCTTGCGCATAGGGTTCTTTAGCAGTGGGAGGACCCGGAGAAAACCCACGAGGTAGGACAGGTGACCCTACATGTACTCCTTGTCACGTACAACCGGGGATTCGAAACCACGACAGTTGACTCAATGACAGGCCTTATGATACAGCGCGCGAGTGCCAACCATTCGGCCATCCAACCCCCCGTTTAACAACAAAGTGGCAATGGAAAATAGATACATGTACTAGATGATCGTGACAATACTTGGCTTTGACGGTACTTTTAGTTTATTCAATCAGTATCAAATAATGTTTTTTTTTTACGTGTGAAAACAATGATCAGGGTTTGTCATTTTATAAAACAAAAGAATAATTAACAGATATTACCAGATTTATTGTTATTTTCACAGTTCTTTTGACCTGACTGGTGGGGGCCAGATAATTAACTATTAATCATGGGATTAGAGGAGGTGCTACGAAGTACGACAAGATGGTATCACTCAACAATGGCCGACGTTTTGTTAAATTCAAAACTAAAACAGTGACCACTGGCCGCGTTAGCGGAGTGACCGTTGATTAAAGTAAAGAGATGAAACAATAGAATTTCTATCGGGGGGGATTCAACATGACCGCTTACAAGGAGATGTCACTAAATAGGAGTGGCTGCTCATACAGATTCTAGGCCTACTCTACATGTAGGAAAATATGCTTAATGACAATAATCAATTGATGAATTATGGTTTTAAAGAAAAAATATGAAAGTATTTGTTCAGTTAATGCTGTTGTGATTCACAAAGGCCACAACATACAGATCTATGTATATTGAATAATTACCTGTATTTATCTTGAGATGATAAATATATATCCTCAATATTTACAATAAATTAAAAAATAATTGATGATAAAGAGTATATTTACATTAGGATTCATAATGTAAATATATGAACAATCAAATATTGCACCTAGAAGTGATTGTGCATTTTCTACGAGGGCTTACAGGTTTTACTATTTAGCATTATAAACCCACCAAAAGCACTATTAAGGCTGCCGCAACACGCTTATATACATGTAGATGTAAATGAAACAGTTATTATTAGATTGAAAGAATGATATATATCAAATTAACGATAGTTGATATTTTTCGTTTTCCAACAATTGATATGATCACGCTTTGTTTTGATTGCAACACATGGTTGAAGTTGTCAAACTCTCTGTCAAAGATGAACCACCCCGAAACAGCTTCACTAGTTTTGTCCACCATGCCATGTGACGAAAGCCATGTTTTCTTGAACTCAGTTGAAAATACAAGTAAATATGTCAGATTTTTCAAGAGATAACTTATTTTTTGTTGGAATATTTAATTGTGCAATGGATTTTGTTTACGGGAGTTGATTTCAAACACACAGGTAAGTTTATAATAACCAAGTCCAAATGTATTATGCAAGAGCAAAATCTGCTTATTACAAGCCTTTCTTTAGGCCTGAAATGTTATCTAAATTATCAATTAGACATTAATTAACTTATCCAGACCATAATAAACTCTCGATGTCAAGGCTAGCCTTCGATGTTGACTGGATTAGATTCCTATATGCCGCTAACGGCCGTTGATAATTAAATCATAAAAAGTGGATAATCGAGACTATGCTGTTTATATTAATGATTTTAGTAATGATGACCGAGATTATGCCAAAAAATTTCACCCGCTTCTTTCTCGGCTCATAGTGGATCAATTTGACTGAAATTTTCAGCAAATTACCTTTACACTATCTAGATTTTAACTATTATAGCGAGAACTGCCATCTCGTTATCTTATCTCCCATAATGTATCCTTAAGTAGTTTGTCCATAATCAAAGAAATCTGTTAAGTTAGTTATATTATACACAAATTTTAAACAATCTTTTATTTAATCATCATTTATCACTGTCTGAAATTGAGTCCGAAACTTCATTACTATAAAGTCCGAATAGTTGTTAAGGAAGTCTGAACAGTCGTCAAGGAAGTCCGAAGAGTTGTTTTTGTTGAGTATGAATTGAAAGGTCGCAGGACCGAAGCATTGTGCTACCTGGTATATTACATGTGGGTCTTATATTGACGGATCTATTTTTATTTGTACAAAAAGCAACATAGCCACCAAGAAACTTATAACTGAAGTATAGTATTTTGTCATATGTCTTATGAGTGTCACCGGTCATTACTATTCAATCTATTGCCATAAATTTTGATGGTGTCAGAGTTAATTGTACGATTGGCAGACATTTTGCAGTGTCACTCACTGTCAGAGTTTATTATACATACATCAAAATCCAATGCCAACATCATTGGCTTAAGCTTATGCTTACCAAGTCGCAGCTCGCCAAAATTTCCACAACCAATCTTCTTTCCCACACGGAAATTTGGCCCCACCATCAATACACTTGAATTTGTGGCTGTACTTTGTCTGCTTGTATTGTGCAAACCTCTTGCACTAGATTTCCGTCTTGTTGTTTCGTCTGTTTTTTCATATTCCCGTTTAGGAGTACTCATTGTAAGTTAGATTATTAAATAACACAATAAAATGACTGACAGTTCACTACCAAGTTCAGTTTTTCCACCAGACTTATACTGTTGAGTCTGACTGCTGAAGTCAGAGCGAGTGAAAATGAGCTAATTTTAGTAATTTGACGATCTCCAAAAGCCCCCTTTAAAATCATTTTTTTCCACTTTAGTAGGCTTCTTGAAGTCAGTAAACATATTGTTAAGTATCTAAAAAGCCAAACCCTTGTCCCATTTCGTATTTACATTATTTGTTTCCGAATTCCAGAAATAAATCAACATTCATTTAGCCGGACTCTTACGAGAAAAATATACAGAAGAACTGCAAAGGTGGGGACGATTCCTACGCGAAAAGCAACTTATGTAAAATATACTATTCCATTATTCGATATGCTGGATACTATGTGGGATAACGATAGGCATTATTCGTATACATATAATATGAATCCAGGATCGTCGATATACCAAAAGAAGCTCGTTAACACTTCGCCCTACTTTTTTAACCGGGTAGATATTTGCCGGAAGATGTGGTTTCTATTCCGGTGAGTTTTGCGCATGTCATTATTCGTTACCAAGACTTTGTTGTTATTTACTAACAACCACGATGGAAATGCTTTCCGTAACCCTAAAACGGCGTTTTGATTCAATCCTTCATCCATTCTAACGACCCTCTTAATAAAGAGTTTAGTCTTACACCAAGATACGAAAATAACATAATAATTATGATAAAATAAAATCAGCTGATTTACTTTGTCGTCACTTCCGTGTCAACATAACCTATTTTCAAGCATGGCGGACGTTTTCAAAATATTTTTGTCTGTACATATTTGATTAATTGTTTGTTTTTGTAAAACAAATTCCGATATTCTAAAATAATGGGAGAGAAAGAGAAACACCTTGTGGTGATTTCAGTTCTTGAGGGTATGTCTTAAAATGTGTTAGATTGTTGTTTACTGCAAAAAAGAATACCGATAATTATAATATTATTTGTTGACATGTCTGTTCTCGTTTGTATTGGGGCGCCCTTCTTTCTAAGGTCGTTACTTTTTCCAATTTTTCTGATCGTAAATTTTTATTTTTTATGAGATGTTCAACCAATGTATGATATTTAAATTTCCTTCAAGATCTGTGAGTTACGGTTCAGTCAGCCAATTTCACTGTCAGTGTCATTAGCTTCGTTTACACTGTGACTGTCGCTTAACCTCGATAAGTGTACATCTCTACAGTACTGTACTCGGAACAGTTCCAGGTGGCGATAGTATTAAAGAAATAGCATTTACACTGTGAAAATTTAATCGTGTGGTATTAAAGTATTTGTACTGAGATTGGTGCAGAGACGACCCCACATCAGTAGTATAGTTCTCAGTACGGCGCTGTTATGTTTGACCCGTTTACAAACAAATGCACTCTTGATAAACAGGGTTTGTATACTAGTGTCGCAGGGTTAATACTTGTACTAATAATATTGCGCTAACATGTTTTATTATTGTGTTTTGAGGTTGCCCGTAGTTTGTTCTTTGCCGGTAAGTAGAGGGGTTGGATGGCTGATTGGTTAGCGTGTGCGCGCTGTATCATAAAGTCTGTCATTGAGTCATCTTGCGTGATTTCGATTCCCTCGTTGTACGTGAAAAGGAGTAGGGTTGCCTGTCCAACCTCATGGGTTTTTTCCGGGTCCTCTGGTTTCCTTCCACTGCTAGAGACCCCTACGCGCAAGCGAATTATTGAAATAAAATTAAACCATATGTTTGTCCCGAAATGACCTAGTTTGTGTCGAGTGGACATTAAACCCCATTTCTCTCTCTCTTGCTAGTAAGTTTGGGTGTGTCCGTCATGTTTGAATGATTTGATTGGATATTCAATTTGCCTTGATCCACTCACTGTACACCATCATAGCAGATAGACATGTGAAATAAACACATTTACAAGTGTACCATATTCGATCACATATTTCATATGTATGGAACAGCAGTATTCGACCACACGTTGAATGTTAAGATTACATAAGCTTACAGTATGAACTGCTATAATTTAAAGTGGTGTACTGGTATTACTATTTGTATTATGTATAATATTATTTTCCAGAATATTGTATATTTTGGTGTAAATTGTTATTTTGGAGGTCATTTAAGACCATATATTGAGTAGCCTGAAATAAAGAATCTTACATGTCTTTGGTGTGTTCTTCCATAACGGCCCTGTGACATTAATTAATTAACAACTGTAAATCTGACAGCCTTCTAATCTTCCCTCAGTTTAACAGTAACAAGCCTTCTATTCATATGGCTATTTTGTTGGTTTGTAGCCAGTAGAGGGTCAATATTCCAAACCTTTGTAGGTTCTGATTTTTGAACATTTTTACATGGGTTTATTTTAACTCACTGCATCTGAAGAGAGTGTATAACCAACATACAGACATGACATAAAATAATTTGCGTACGCCTAACTACATGTGTACATCAATCAAATCAAATGTAAAATTGATCACAAGTGGTCACAGTAGAATATGGAATCTAATAAGTTGATGTATTAAAGACTTATATTGTTGGTGATTGTCCTGTTAGTGTTAAATAAATTTCTTTATTTTGTACTTCAGGAAGGCGATTACCACGGAGAACTAAGCATAAAATCATTGCTGAAGCTAAGTTTGATGGAGAATTATTAGCTACTGACCCTGTTGATCATGTTGAAAATCCTGATTTTACACAAGAACTAGCATGGGAATTAGACAAAAAGTCTTTACAACAACACAGGCTTCAAAGAGCATCCATTAAAATCCAGTGTTATGCATATGATGCCCATAGCACTCTCAAAGAACTGATAGGATATGTGGTTTTAGATCTACGATCAGCCACTGCAAATAAACAAGTATGTTCAACATTGTCAAGATTATTCCTACATGAATAGTTCAGCTTCTGCTCCTAAATCTTATGGACTTGATGTTGGCCTTTAGAAACTATCAATAGTACCTATACAACAATTTGTTTCAGTGTGGGACCAGCCAAGTTCAATGATGATTATTTTCTGCTTAGACTGGGCAATTTGATTTACAGATGCTTTGGAACACAATAGCTTCTGCTTTGGAACACAATAGCTTCTGAGGTCATTAATTACCGTTTTTTCTAGGGTTAAGCAGAGTGATAAGCAATTTGGTTAGTTGCGACTTGAAACACTGAGAGTGATGGAACTTGGTGTGTTTTTTTCATTACATCTATGCATGTACCTTGACTAAGTTCTATACTGAGCACCTTCTAGCCAGGTTAAACAGACTGATAAGGATTTTATTTGATTGCTTGATGCCTTATAAAAAGATAAAAAGAGTGTCATCTAGTTATTTTGGGAACCTATCTTTGAATTCTTTAATTGATTTATTTGTTTTTATTCTTTCATAGTGTGCCAAATGGTATCCTTTACTACACAGCAAGTATCACAAATTAAAACCAGAAATCAGATTAGCCTTGTATTTGGATGAAGATCAAGGGTCGAATGATAATATCAATGTCATTAAAGCTCAGCAGTCAGGTATTTTGAAATCCATATCTCATTGATCACTTTCAATTTGGAAAAAAAAAGGGTTTTGTATTTCAGATGAGAGAGAGGAATGGGGTTTACCGTCCACTCAACACAAGCTAGGTCATTTCGGGACAAACATATGGTTCAATTTTATTTCAATAATTCTATTGCGGGTAGGGGTCTTTAGCAGTGGATGGAAACCAGAGGACCAAGCCGGAGAAAACCCACGAGGTTGGACAGGCGACCCTACTCCTTGTCACATACAACCAGGGAATCGAAACCACGCCAGTTGACCCAATGACAGACCTTATGATACAGCGCACGCGCACTAACCATTCGGCCATCCAACCCGCCTATTTCAAATGAACTCTTCAAACTAATTAATCTATTATAATTTTTGTTCAAATCCCTCTCAAAACATTGTATTTGCGAGGAAATACCCCAAGATATAAAATTCTATTTTTAGAAGCCATGTATATCGTGTAACTTGATTTAGGACCCATTTTCAGAATGTATTCGTCATTACTTACTTTCCATTTGCCATACGTATTGAAGCCTATATAAATTCTTGGATTATCTTCTGTCAACCTCTTTTGCAGTTGTTTAATTGCAGAATATTTTGTGTAAAACTATGCATGTTATGCGTCGCTGGTCAGATGTTGAAAGCCACTAAGCCAAAAACTCCCCACATCAAACGTGTGACGCTATTTTAATAGCCTTGTGATCGTCTATTATTGTCTCTGGTTATATTTGCAATTCTCTTCTTTTGGCTAGGACTCATGTTGTGTATATTCTTCTTACCATCTCAGTAGTTTAGACTTTTGTCTTACCAGGAATAACAATGCAATAGTTCGTTTCTACATTTTTATGTCAAGCTGGATACATTTGGTTACAAATGCATAATAGATTACACTACAATACTTAAAATTAACATGTCTTTCTTTCCACCCCTAGTTTACTGATTGATGCCAACATATGGCCCTCCTACAAACAGTAGGGTCTACTCCACCCAGCTAGTGTCTCTTGAACCTCAGTGATTTCTCCCGAATTTAGTGGCAGTCTCTAGGAACTCAGATGGTAATCTCTACGCAACCCACATGGTATCTGATCTTAAAGGCCTGGCAGTCTCTTTTATAGGACCCATATTGACATTGGCCTTGAAGTCTTATCACGCTGAGATCAGACTATTCAAGACCCTGGATCTGTTCAATTACTGATATGATTGGACTAAACTTGACTAATGATGCAATAGGAATTTTCCAACACAAGTGACAAACTTAATATTCTGGTTTCACCTAAAATTGGCTATGTTTTGGTTTTATAGATCTTTTTATGTATCAATCCATCACTCATTTTGATTTAAGTGCGTGAGACATGACTTCTCCACAATACATGTATATGAACCCAACAATTAGCCAAAGATATATTATTAAACATACATTATGCAAGAGCTAAATCTGCCTATTGCAGGTCTTTCTTTGGGCCTGAAGTGTTATAAACTATTAATTAGACATTTATTAACATTAAAAGACCTTAATCAACTCTCCATGCGATCTTATCTGTCAGATTTTCACTGGATTTAAATCCGATTTGCTGCACAACACTCATGATTTAATCCAAAGATGGATAATCGAGACTGTTTTTTATGGTACCAACTTTAATATTGATGATCGAGGCTAGGCCTAAAATCACTTTCCAAAAGTTCATCACTGCACCTCTAAGTCTTAAAAAAGTTCACCTTAACCTAAACACAGAAAAACATAACTAAAATCTAAATGTTCATTAATTCTTCAAGTATCCTAATCTCTAAACATTATAACACTGCACTTTTAAACATGCATTATGCAAGAGCTAAATCTGTCTATTGTAGGTCTTTCTTTAGGCCTGAAATGTTATCTAAATTATTAAGTTAATTAACTTATCCAGACCATAATCAACTCTAGATGGCATCGCTAGCCTGCGAACTTAAGTGGATTGTGATCCGATTTACTGCATAACTTTCCTTCTCGATTAAATGATTAAATGGATAATCGAGACTATGCTGTTTAACGTACTGACTTTAGTAATGATGATCGAGGCTAGGCAGAAATTTCATTCGCTTAGTTCTCGGTTCATAGTGGATCAATTTGAATGAAATTTTCAGCAAATTGCCTTAACGTTATCTAGTTTTTAATTATTATAGTGAGAACTGCCAACTCGTTATCGAATCTCCCATAATGTATCTTTAATTTAAGATTTAGAAATAATAATGTTAGACTAGATAATGTAAAGGAAATTTGCTGAAAATATCATTCAAATTGATTCACTATGAACCGAGAACTAAGCGGTTTAAATTTCAGGCTAGCCTTGATCATCATTACTAAAGTCAGTACGATAAACAGCATAGTCTTGATTATCCATTTAATTGTTAAATCGTGAAGGAAAGTTATGCAGTAAATCAGCTCATAATCCACTCAAGATCGCAGGCTAGCGATGCCATCTAGAGTTGATAATGGTCTGTATAGTTTAATTAATGTCTAATTTATAATTTAGATAACATTTCAGGCCTAAAGAAAGACCTGCAATAGACAGATTTAGCTCTTGCAAGTTGCATAATATATGTTTAACTCTTACATGTACTTTTAATTAATATTAATCTTCCATTTAACTTGTAATAAACTTTGATGTGTCTCTTTAATCATCAGAATTCTAAAATACATGTAGCATTATTTTATTTTTAATTATAAATCTACAAACTAACTTTGACCTCTTCACCTTAACTCAGTAATCTACAATTTTATAATTTTATAATTTCCTTTTTTGTTTTATAATTCTGCCAAAACAATCAAATTGTTATTTTACATTTCACCATCAGTAATCTAACCTTTCGACCTAAACTATTAAATTTTAACTATTTGAATGACATCCTATTTTATTCCACAGTAGGACATTAGACCCCATTTCATTTAATTTATCTAGAACTATGTCCCAAGCAAATGAATTTACACTCCAGTATGTTATGATTGTCATGTTTATATAAATATAAGTATGTTCTACTTATATTTATATAAACATGACAATCATAACATACTTAGCTTTTAATTACACATATTAACAACTTGTTATAGCACACAAGCAGGCGTCAAAGTAGACAATTATATTAGATAGCGCTTATACATTTTAAAGCAAAATTTAATGACACAAAAATAACATAAAATTATATAGGTAGCGTTAATGTATATCTTTATCCACTTTTCGCAAAGGGGCCTTATTCTCATTAACCTGTAATTAAACTCGTATTTAATGACTTTACGATAATCTCGCAAATTCAACAAGTCATTAATTTTAGTTTCTAGGAAAACTATACCTAAAACCCTATAGACGGCTAGTTGTGATTTATAAGGCTCTCTTGTTCTTATACCAGCAATTTTTTTACTTAACCTAACTCTATATTCAGAAGTTAAATTACTTATTTTAGCTTTTACTTGGCTCTTATTATATTTGTACATTTAAACCCCCCCAATGTTCCCAAAATTGCCTAACCAACAAGAAATAACAAGTGCTCCGTAAGTCAAGCTGGCAGACGATAAGCCATCAGGTTGCCAGATTGTTTTTTTTTTAACATTAAATTTTTAAATCTTGTGGGTGTTTAAATCCATTTGAATCTCAGCCATCCGATGGTCTAGAGAGTTATTATTGGCTTGTCATGTGAATAAATGTCAAAATAAAAGTTAAACGTTTCAAGCCAAAATAAAGACCTGCAATAGGCAGATTTAGTTTTTACATAATGTATCTTTAATTCAGCAGATGGTTGACATCAGATGTTTTTATCATGTTGAAAATTACCTTGCCAGCAAAGTTAAAAATTTGCTATTTACAATGAAAAAAATTGTCAGTTATTTGTACAATCATGTTATTTTATATTGCAGACGAACAGTTGACAAACACAGAAGCATTAGATCTGAAGACATTAATACCTGTTCTAGATGAAGATGAAGGGTTTTATCAAATCGGACCTGCTGACAAATGTAGTGAAATGTTTGTTTTATCTGTGACAGTTGCATATGCTTCTAATCTTGCACAGGTATGAACATCATAAAATTGATAAACTTTTGTCACTGACACTGAATACACATATCAAAATATGAATATGTTAATCAATTTCACGTAGTTGAACCCATTTTGACTTTCCTATTATAGAAAACTAGCTTAGCTATCCAGCATTCTGCGCGTGACTGTCTTACTTTTAAATAGTTTTGATTTGACTTTTGCCAGAAAAATAAGGTGATGGGCCGATCTAGAAAAGTAGCTATGTTCTAGATTGTTTCTAACATTAATTGTTAATTTCAGTAATAAATACTGCACAAATTACAAAATGAAAAGCACCGTTTAATTCCTTTTGGAAAAAAAATTGGTTATTTATAAGTTCATCCGTTTTGCGAACAAAGCCACAAAGCAAAAAAACTCTCTTGTATAGATAACAAAATATATTGTTTCCGCCTTTCGAAGAAAGCAGCGGACTATTAAAATCTGTCTATCTGTCTGTCTGTCACACCTTTTGGGACACAATAACTGACCTTCTAACTGAGCTAGAATGTTCAAACTTAGTGTAGGTGTTTATTAGGTGAATGCCTTGATGGAGTTCGAAGATGAGCATTTCCTGCTTCGGGTAAGCAGAGATAAATAATTTGATTGGTTGATGCTTTGGAATATGATAATGTTAGTTCTAATTAGGTGAGAGTCTTGAAACTTGGTGGGGGGGTTGGATGGCCGAATGGTTAGCACGTGCGTGCTGTATCATAAGGCCTGTCATTGAGTCAACTGGCGTGGTTTCGAATCCCCAGTTGTACGTGACAAGGAGTAAGGTCGTCTGTCCAACCTTGTGGTTTTTCTCTGGGTCCTCCGGTTTCCTCCCACTACTAAAGACCCCTACGCACAAGCGAATTATTGAAATAAAATTGAACCATACGTTTGTCCCGAAATGACCTAGCTTGTGTTGAGTGGACGGTAAACCCCATTTCTCTCTCTCTCTCTCTCTCTCTCTGAAACTTGGTGTATAGTTTCATTACATCAATACCTTGACTAAGTTTGATAATGAGCATTTTCTGCTCATTGCAAGTAGAGCTGAGCAATTTCATTGGTCGATACTTTGGGACAAGATAACTTTCAATCTAACTCAGTGGTTCTTAACCGTTTTTGGCCAATGGCACACCTTGGAACACATGAAAAAGTAGCAGCACATTTGACTAAATATACATGAAAAATATTTGAAATTTGCAAAATAAAAACATAGTAAGTCATAGACGGTATACAACCGTAGATACAGACTAGTCATAGACACATATAATGAATCAAACTAAATAAAGAAAAACACAGCTATGAACTTACCAGTAGACACCAGTGAATGCTTTATTGGGATCGGGGGGTTGGATGGCTGAATGGTTAGCGTGTGCACGCTGTATCATTAAGTCTGTCATTGAGTCAACTGGTGTGGTTTCGAATCCCCGGTTGTACGTGACAAGGAGTAGGGTCTCGCCTGTCTAACCTCGTGGGTTTTCTCCGGGTCCTCCGGTTTCCTCCCACTGCTAAAGACCCCTACGCGCAAGCGAATTATGTAAATAAAACTAAACCTTATGTTGGTCCCGAAATGACCTAGTTTGTGTCGAGTGGACGTTAAACCCCATTTCTCTCTCTCTCTCTCTTTATTGGGATCACATGGTTTTTCACATTTTCTTAGTGTGCCGTTGAGAATCACTGATTCTAACTGATGGAGAGTGATGAAACTTAGTGTATAGTTTCACTACCATTGACTGAGTTTGATCATGAACATTTTATGTTTAGACTAAGTATAGATAATCAGTTTGATTGCTTGATACTTTTGAAGAAGTTCAATGAATTAATATGTGTCATCTATTTATATTGGGATTTCGGCGGGGAACATCAGTGTCACTGTTTGCTTGTTTCCTTACATGTTGCTTTAGCATTTCTAATTATGTTTTTAAACAATGGGACAGGCGCCGATGAAAATACAAAACTTTCATATTTTTACCTGGCACCACATGATATTATAAATACAATCGTTTCTACTACAGCACCTGATTACATTTCAGCTTATTCCATCCAACCAACCATTATCAGCCACTTCCTATTTTTTCTACTATTCTTTACTGGGTAATGATGTAACAAACGAAGCCTTTACAGATCTTATCAATACAAATTTCCCTGCAGAAAGAGCTTCAGTTAAAGTTCGGTCAAGTTTTGAAGTACTTAGAACTTTCTTGTCAAATCAACCAGGCATACAGGTAAAATGTGTTAGAATTTAATCTCTTGTTTTTTGGTTACTTGTAAGATTTACCTTAGACCAAAATCAACCAGAATCTGCCCACCAATTACATCACCTTTAATCATGTGTACTGAACCAGGGTTTGAGTTCAGGGATAGCTGTTGAAAAAAATTGGTGGACAGGTTCTGAAACTTCCGGAGCCGCAGTGGCTCAGTGTGTAAGGTGTTGGCTTGCTAACCAGGAGGTCTCAGGTTCACTCCTGATGTTCATTAAGAGAGTTTCTCATGACATTCAGCCATGATTTCCCCTTGTCTGTTGTGCAGAATGGTGGGCCCGTCAAGGAATGGTGGCTAGTCGTTCAGATGGGCAAAAAACCAAGTGGCATGCACATAAAGACCCCTGGGCAGTTGGAATTCAATAGCACCACTCTACGGACAAAGTTTTCCTCATAGAACACTGCATGACATAAGCCCATCTTCATTAGCCCCGTTGTTGCAGAAAAGTAGGACATTAAACCTATTTTCATTCCATTTCATAATTTTCCAACAGCATTATCATCAGTATTTTTATGCATTCCATATTGCTTTTAAGTTTCATCTGTGCTGTGGTGACCAGTCATTAGGTAGTTGTGAAGTATCACTGAAGACTTTGTTGAAGAAGGGTAGTTCTGAAATTTATATGAGACCAATTAGTTTAGAAGGAGTATATCAAGTATGTAAAATTCAAATATTTTTATAAATGATGTGATCTATCTGTAATCAAGACCGGCACATTCGTCTTTTATATGGTTCGATAATGAGCATTTTCTGCTCAGGGTAAGCAGAGTGATAAGCAATTTTATTGGTAGAGACTTTATATGGTTTATTTGTAATTCTAGACATTATCTTTTAAAGGCATTTAGTGAAAGCGATATATGATAAACAGACAGCTTTATGGATAACATTCACTAGGTTTATTAACTGCAATGTTTCAATGAGGATACTCTCATTGCTTGATAATGGTTAGAGTATCCTCATTGAAACGTTGCAGTTAATAAACCTAGTGAATGTTATCCATAAAGCTGTCTGTTTATTTAATTCTAGACATGTATGTTTTAAACTTGAAGATCAAAGACTTTAGCATGTGTAGTTTAATGGGTTCATTTCCTTGGTCAATCTTGTTACACGATCATGAATTTGTAATTGTTTTCCATAATTTTAGCTTGTACCACCTAACAAGACCAAACAACAGATAGGACCTGTTCCTGATAATATGAAGCCTTCTGTTGGTATTTCAGTTGTTTTAAAAAGAGAAGATATGGTAGGTTTATTTACTTTCTTCTTTTTACTGTCTTTCAAGGATTGATAACTTTTTGAATTTATATGGAGAAAACAAAATAAGTTTAACTTGTAGATAATACATGTTATACGATGAGTATGAGTAGTTAGAAACCAAATTACTGAAATCTCTGATAACGTTATCGAAGACGATATTGACTTATTGTTTATCACTGAGTCTTGGTTACGTGACTGTGGCAATGAAACAAAAATAACCAATTTTCACCAACATCTTACAAGTTTCGACATGTCCCACGTTTACATTCTTCAGCTGTTCTGTATAAGAAGAGTCCAGAAGTAGAATTTTCAAGCACCATTTCATCCACATTCTCATCCCTGGAATTATTAGATCTTAATCTCATTCATTGCAACCACTAAATTAAATTTCTATGTGTTTATTGTCCTCCACCATCTAATACCAATAAGCTGACAGATTCAATGTGTTATGAAGATCTTTCTTCTCTTATCGATGAAACTCAAACTATAAAAGGTGACCTTGTCATTTTAGGCGATTTCAATATTCATTTTGAAAACTTAGAGAAGCCTCTTACTAAAAGAATTATCCAGCTTCTTGATTCCCATAACATGTCATTTCTTTTACACATAAATCTGGTCACACTTTAGATTGGATCATAAATAGAAGAATTACAGACTTGTATCCAACCTGTCTTGTAAGAGCTGTAAATATCCGTCTTATGGAGTATTATAGTTATACTCAAATAATTTCAATCAGCCTATAAACCATTCCATGGAACAGAAACTGCTCTGAATTGTGTGCTTAATAAAGTTAATACAATTGTTGATAAAGGAAATGTAATTTTGTTGATATTGCTGGACTTATCCACTGTATTTGACACTATTGATCCTAATGTTCTTATCACCTGTGTCTGTGATGAGTGTGGATTAGACGTTATGGTATTAAACTGGTTTTCATCGTATCAATCAGGCATAAGCCAGTCTGTTATTATCAGAGACTCACATTCAGCATCTGTCTGCCTGAGACACTGAGACATATTGTGCCCAATTCTTTTTACCATGTATACTAGTCAACCAGGCCAGATTATAAATGGTTTTCAACTGTCACACCATCAATATGCTGATGACACTCAGCTAATTGAGAGCTTGCCTATGTACTTTAACATTATTGAAGCCTGAATAACATTCAAGCATGCATTGCTGATATAAAGTTCTGGATGTCATGCAATAAATTAAAACTGAACGATGACAAGTCAGAGGCCACACTCATAGGTCCATCATCACAAATTTCCAAAATGTCAGTAGATCACGTTGGAGTTGGTGAAGTAAATCATTAATTAGATTACCGGTACTGTAAATTAGATTACTGTAACAGTCTTCTTACTGGCATTTCGTCTGAATTATTACAAAAACTACAGAAGATACAAAATTCTGCAGCCAGATTAGTTTTCAAATCTCCAAAACATTCTAGTATATCTCCAGTACTAAATTCTCTGCATTGCCCGCGCGTAAGTGAAAGGATATATTTCAAGATTTTAACAGTTGTGTATCAGTGCCTTCATGGAAATACTCCTTCGTATTTAAAGGAACTTGTTCATCCCTACTAGTCAATACGACCTGCGATTCCCAATTGCAACATTATCTTACAGTATCAAAGTGGAAAACTTTGGTTTTAAATCATTTGAAGTTTTAAAGCGGCTTTGAAGTGGAATGCCCTCCCATTAGCTTTAAAATCTGCTCCAACATTTTCAAGATTTAAATCTAAATTAAAGATATTCCTGTTTTCTCAATATTAAAAACAAACCCTAAAGTAACTTAGATTTGACTTTGTGTGCACTTTAAGCAGACTTTATTGTTTGGAGTTTAGCGCTATATAAGAACCCTATTATATAATCCATGGTCAATAATATTATAATTTTATCAAAGATTGTTTTTAACGATCACAGTGGATTTGTTTATATCTGCATGAATTTCAAATTTATTTATGGAATTTAACATGTTTTTCATCATGAAGTTAAACATATAATACAATAATTTCTTTACATTTACAGGTAGTAAAGTCTCCAGTGAGGGAATTAGAAGGAAATTCAAATACAAACACTAATGTTCAAGGCTCCCCTAAAGCTAAAGCTCAACCCAGTCCTAAGTCATCACCTAAACTCAAGTCAAAAACTAAAAAAGATGGGAAAGGTAAAGAGAAACGTGATGGCTCACCTACAGCTCAACAATCTAAATCAAAACCTTCAGGTGAAAACTATTCAGATGATTTTGAAGATGAAAAATCTAAAGAATCTGCCAGTTTAGGTGAAAAATTAGCTCAAAGAGGTATGTTCAGAGTCTATTTTTGTTTGTACTTTCCCATTAATCAGTCTTATTTCATCTGAAATCCCATTTTGACCATAAAAATTAGATGAATTATAGAAGTGCAGATATCACATTTCAAGGGTAATTATCTTAAAGTTCAAGGGACTGGGGTCACTAGGATTATGTGGTTAGTAGAGAACTGGACTCTATATTCAAATAAGTCTTGGGTTTAAGTCCTGGTGTAGAATCACTTGCAGTTTTCAATCGTTATTATCACTGGACGGCCCTAATGGTTACAGAGCTGAGAATAAAGTGTTTGTAGAGGTTCGGATGGTACTAAAATTTATATCCACAACAGGTATAAAAGATATGTTGACGCTTCCCAACAAAATTTTCACCTTCAAGTAGTTCAAGATAGATTTCCTTTTTTTCTTTCAGCTGCTAAAAATACAAGTCCAACCTCATCACCCAAAACAAGATCTCGCAGTCCCAAAAGATCCTCACTTTCTCCAGGTAATTATTAGAAATTTTAATTAAGTGACTATAATAATAATAGATTAAGAAATTGCAATTCAATAGATTGGATCTCGAAACTGGTTGATTTTTGTTACATTGAATTTTACATTCTAGGTCGAGAGCTAAGAAGTAATGATTTGAGATTCCCACCTGCTGCCTTGGCTGTGCCCCCTCAATCTCATCATTTTTCATTCTCCATTGATTTACGTAGCATTAAAGATACAACATCCACCAACACCCAATCAGTATTCCTCAGGTAGGTAAATACCACAATATACACCAACCCTTTCACATGATATTCTTTGCACTTTATTTTTTTAGTGCAACCAGAGTTTGGTCATGCATTAGTCTGTATTATGGGAGGCGACCTTATTTGAAATGTTTAGATTTTTTTAGATGCATATCTATTTTATCGTTAAACTCTTAAAGATACATTATTTAGATAAAGAGCTGACTATTCTTGCTATAATAGATCAAAAATAGATAATGTAAAGTGAAAATGTTGAAAATTTCATTCAAATTCCTCTATTCTGAGCCATGTTATCACTTTTTGTAGTATTGCCATAATGTGTGCATTGTGGTAACCAGGGCACTGGTATATTCGAGACTTAGCCTCTCTTTCCCATTTTTAAATTAAATTTTTAAATGGCGAACCGTTCTAATTTAGTAAAAATCTCAAGTATCAGATGTCATTGAGATTTGGATATGGTCTAACTCTGCTTAAAATCATAGCCATCCGATGGCCCAGAGAGTTGATATGGGCTTGCTGGGTTTGAATAATAATTTATTTAAAGACAGAAAAAGACATGGAATAGGCAGATTTAGAGCTTTCATAATGCATCTTTAAGAATATATCTATCAGACTGAATTTAATTTGTTGTTTTTCAACAGATACATATATCCTTTCTTTGGAAGTGCTGCACCAATTTTAACTCATCCACCAGTTGATGTTAGAAAAGGAATGGAAGTTCTTCTTCCTCAATCATTTTGTGCTTTTGATTTCGCTTGTTCTCCTAGACAAATAGAAGAAACATTTCAGAGGTGAGTTTAAAGGCACAACAATCCACATTGTTCACATATATTTCTTGTTATTATGTAATTAGGTACATCTGAGTATGGAAAGACATTTAATCTTGAAGAATGATTGATTTAGATATTTTTTGGACAAAAATGTTTTTTGATAAAAGTATTGATGTTTGTGGATATTTAATCTGTGTAAGTGTGATTTACTTTGTTGTTATCTCTAGAAGTTTGTACTCCTTAGGAATTTTGTCAACAACAACACAAATCCCTCAAGACCTTATTGGGCCAATTTTGTCCAAATGAGTCGAAAAGTGGTACATGTATTTAGAAATAATCTTAAATTTGTCATGCAAGTGTAAACCATGTGTATACATTGGGTATTTTGATAAATAAGAAAATAAGCTGTTATATTCAACAAAGCATTAGAATTGATAGTGGGTTGATGGTGCAAATTTATTATTGTTATATTGTTTATTATGTATTTGTAGAGTTCCACTAACAGTAGAAGTATGGAGTCGAGATGAAAATACTAAAGATCGTCTTCTAGCAACAGCTAGATTACCAATACCTGATGTGTTACCTGTCGATAGAAAAAGAGTTGTGGTATGATATCATTTTGTTTCTGCTTCCTTCTTTGATGTCCACTTGTTCATCTATTATCCATAATTCCTCATAAACACTAGAAAGACTTTATCATTCAACTTTTTAAAATGTTTTATGCATATCATCTGATTTTTTTGGAATTTGTATGTATTGTTTGGATTATTAAGATATACAAAGCTTTTTCAAATTTCAAATTGGTTGCAGAGAGAGAGGTTGCTAATAATTAGCTAATTATAAATAATTATTGCTGTTCCACTGTATGGTTCATATCACATAGAGCTGTAAATTCCTTTCAAGAACATAAAATGATTAGAGTTTAATAACGACATCAACCATAGGATCAGTTATGATAGTATTTAACCACATTATAATATTATTTACAGTCTGATACAGGTGTAAATGGGACAAGACAAGAACATAGTGATAGAATCTATGTTATAAAAGCTAATGGGTAAGTTTTACAGTTTCAATGTGTGTACAAGGGCTGGCTGAAAAGTTCTAAGCCCAAAAAGGATAGATCAATTGGGTTGAAACAAACTTTTGCCACCTTCAAGTCCACTCATTGAATTAATCATAGACATACGAACTGCAACTGTAGTTTTATTATTGTTTTTGTACCAGACCATCTTGTGAACCTACCCAGTGTTAAAATTTGTAATTAAAATTTGAAAGTGGAGGACCATAAAAGATATAGACACTAACGTTAACTTTTAGGCCAAAATAAATATAGACAAAACAGACAATTCTTGATCAGATATATATTCTAAATAACATTGAAATTCATCATCTGTAGATAAATTCTCGAATAGACAGAGTAGCTTTGATACCATGGAATGCATTGTTCTGTTAATGATATAATTGATGACTGATAGATTGATTAGTTTAATGAAATAGAGAATTATAACACAGTATTTGTTTAACTTTTAAACATTGGGATCCACATATAGCTATATTCTAATTATACTTTGCCCTTATTGCTTTTGGGAATTGGATGAGGATTACGTCTCAGTATTCTTTCTTCTCCACCACAGGCAGTCACTAAGTTTTACATTCATTCAATCTCACATGATTAACAAAATCGCTCTAACAATATTTTCAAATTTTACCTCTTCATTTTTGATTGATTGAAAAGAAACTCTAAATACTCAAGGCATCTGATGTTGATATGCTCCCCCCAACATTTTGGTTAGCACATGAGATTTTAGTACAAACACTCTTGCTATAGGATATCCTTTTCTAGAGAATTGTAAAAAAGAAATCAGATATAACTATCATAGATATTGGTATAACTGTCATACATATTAAGTTAAAAACTTACATTTTCAGTATGAGTGAACACTATGGTGAATTATTTGTGGTGTTAGTGTTAGAAGATTGGGGACCATTACCTCAACAACAGATAGTAACTACAACACAACAACAACATATTAAGGTAGGTATTTCATGTTTTGTTCATGTTGAGTGCAGTGTACTGTTTGAAGTATGCCGAGGATTCATGTGAATTTTAGTTTAATTTGGCATGCCAAGCATTTACTGAAATAAAAATAAGCCATGTGTTAGTCCCAAAATGACCTATTTTGTGTCAAGTGTACATTAAACCCCATTTCTCTCTCTCTCTCTTTCACTATATTGTAGTTTGCAAGGGATTCCTATTGCACTAAATATGCATCAAACCATTAAAGGGATATGCTTCATATTCTGTACTTTATTCATGTACAAAGATTATTACAGTTTTAAATATACTGGAATCAGACTTACTATTATGTACATTCGTCATTTAAACATATTATGTACATTAGTATTAGTAATATGGTCATCTAATTGATTCTAATATAAAATAATCAGTTTATTAAGCATTGTCATAATTTATCTCTTACTTTCAGCATCAGACTTCTAATGTACAGTATCAAACAGGCAATCATTCCATAATAGACGATAATAACTATCAACAAAACAATATACAGCAGCATGTATCACCACGACAAACAGCTGAATATCAGGCTGCATTGGAACTAGAGATGTGGAAAGAAAATCAGGAACATGCATTTGAGCTACAGGTAGGATATGAACGATCACCTTGTGAATGAGTAAAAATAATATATTACATTGGTAAAGATAGTCTTGAAAACAAAAAATTCCTGATGTATTATAAGCTTAGTGAATAAATCTGTTGATTCAGCTCAATTTTTTTTAATGTAAATCAGCTAATTTTTCACATTTTGCATACTTGCATTTTGAAAACTTGGACTTTAAGTGTAGCTTTAGAGTTAAAATTCTTTCTCTTTGATTGCAGTTAAAACAGAGAGAAATGTCCTATATGAAAGCTTTAGGTGAAGAATGGAAGAAAAGAGATACAGAAAGAGAGGTTATAATGCAGAAAAAGGTAATGAAAGATAACAAATTTCTAATATTCTTTTGACTAATTAACTAAGATGATATCAGATGACTAAACTAAAACTATCTTTTAGAAAACGCTATAGTAAGCAATATTGCAGATTCAACATTTTCAACAATATGTTTTACCTTGATACTAAGATCTTTTAAATGAAATATAATTACTCCTGGTTTAATACTTTCGAAAACTGAAATCGTGAAAGCAATATTCTTTAGATTTATCTTTCAATGCTTAAGCATAGCGCCTTCATTGTTATTACAATCATAATAAATAAGAGTTTATCTATAGGTAACAGAATATACCCAGTTAGAAGAACAACTGAGAAAAACTTTGACAGATTTGGAAAAACGAGAAAAGCAGTTGGCTGCCAATGAACATGAGGTTTGTATTGATAATGATAACCTAAATATTTTTATGCCCTGGTCGGAAAGTGATGTAGACATCAATCCAATTTCTGTCTGTTTCTAACAATATTTAGTGGGGTTTTTATCTTTGCCTTGAAATATCTGTCTGAAATAGGATTTAAAATTTACAATTTATTAAAATGTTTAATCATATTATATTGTCTTTGTTTTATTGTATGTAGGTGATGAGACTGAAAACAGATTTAAAAAGAGAACATGATCGTAAATTACAAGAACTTAAAGAAGCTTCAAATCGATTAAAACTAGATTGTGATCATCAAGTACAATTAGAAAAGTAAGCTGGATTTCTGTTGAAGATTCTTTCATATCATGTATACAAATCTATAAAACATTTGAATGTCGATTTTAGTATTTGAAAAAAAGGGAACGTATGTATAGAAACTCCCATCTTTTGTTTACCTAGGGTTTGAATAAGAGATGATATAGTTTATTGATAATAAATATCCTTCAATTTTATTCACTACTTAATAAATGGACATCTCTTATATTTAACCCATCCCTGTTGGTTTGCAATGAATTTTTGGTGTGTGTGAAAAATTTGACTATGTTGTGTTTGAAGATATAAATTCATCAGAATAGATTTGAGTCATGGATGTAGTCCAGATCCCGTTATCAGTATACCAAACACAACCAAATTTTATCCTTTTTATTGCATGCATTGTACAGGCATGGAAGTTATCCTACATAAAACTTATATTTTACACAAAAACCCTCAGTTATCAGAAATGGGTGTTTTTTCTTTGTAATGCCTAGTTAAATGTCTAGAATATAACTAAACTGTATCTTCCAGGTCATGCTTACCTTTTAATTAGTATTTATTTTGTAATTTAGAATGAAGGTAAAAGAGTTAGAAGATCTGATTGTAAGACATAAAGGAGAGGTAAGTAATGCACTTAATATAATATTGAAATCTTTGGCTGCGGACATTAAATGAAGGACAGCCTGAGAATTGCCAGTATGTCATAAATAGGCCCTATGAATTGTTGTTTCTTTCTGTATGTGAAACATTAGTAGTTTAATTAAAAATAGCACTCATCTACATGTATATATAGCCATCTTGGAACTGTGATGTCCCCTTAAGAATCAAGGTTTTGTCAATTAATGTGCAATTGTCCAAGGAACAAGCTTGCCAAATTCCATGTCGCACTTGAAATGGCAAAGCCTTAGATTTTTCTTCAAACATTGTAATCCCATAGAAGAACAAGAAGATGAGTAGCGCTTAGGGCCCAGTTCCGGTTCAAAAAGTGTATTTTATTGATGTAGATCATTAGAAAATTGATTGATTTTACGTTCAGATTTCAAAGAAAATTTTTTTTTTTTTTTAGGTATTAGAAGCTGAAAAAAAATATAGAAATATCGAAAGAGAATTTAATATTTATAAAGAACAACAAAATACTAAACCTGAAGTTAGACTGCAATCAGAGATTAACTTATTAACATTAGAAAAGGTAGGTTATGATGTCCTGATACCCAATATCTTATATAATTTTACATGGTTGATCAGTCTTCATTAGTCCGGTTGGTGCAGAATTGTAGGATGTTAAACCCGATTTCATTACATTTTGAAACGGTTATAGTATATTTCTGTTAAAAGTCCCAATATTACAGACTAAAAGGTTATAGTTTGTTTCTGTTTAATTCCCAATATTACAGATTAAAAGGTTATAATTTATTTGTGTTAAAACCCCATTATTACAGACTAAAAGATAATAGTTTGTTATTGTTAAAACCCCAATAAAAACTGCAATATTAGACTAGACTTTTCAGACCAGACACAATAAAAAGTTGATTTATTAAAAAGCAAATTGGTCCAAAAATTATGAAATTCAAGTTCTGTTGACCTAAAGTTCACATTAATTTCTATTTTTATACGACCACAGTTATGGCCCTTGATTACTGAAAAATCTTGTGAACACTCTAGGCTAAAGTTAATGTCCGATTGACTTTATAATTATAGACAGTGTTTAAGGCAATGAGACGAAGATATTGTCATTTATTGTTTGGTTAGAAGTTTTTTTTTTAAAACATTGTGTGTTATGGTCATGGTATTATTTGAGTTTTGAGATTTTTTAAATCTTCCGACAGGTTGAGTTAGAGAGAAAGTTAGATGCTGTAACTAAATCTAAAGTACATTATAAACAGCAATGGGGACGAGCTTTAAAGGAACTGGCCAGATTAAAACAGAAAGAACAAGATATTGCTAAAGCCAGTTTAAAACGTCAACAACAAGAATTAGAACATATGAGATTACGTTATCTAGCAGCTGAAGAAAAGGAAGTTGTAGCCTCAGAGAAAAAGGAACTTGAAGACATCAAGAATGAATTAAATAAGTAAGTTTGAGAAATTAAGGTCTTTTAAATTAAACTTCAAGTAGTGGAGATTGAATTAAGATGTTATTTTCATTCCATTCATTCAAAGAGTCACTTACATCTAAAGACATGTTTAAGAAAAGTGTGATCTGTGATGTCAGCATGGGGGTTTGGATAGCCGAATGGTTAGCATGTGTGCGTTGTATCAAAAGGTCTGTCATTGAGTCAGCTGGCGGGGTTTCGATTCCCTGGTTGTACATGACAAGGAGTAGGGTCGCCTGTCCAACCTCGTGGATTTTCTCCAGGTCCTCCGGTTTCCTCCCACTGCTAAGGACCCCTATGTGCAGGTGAGTTGTTGAAATAAAATTGAATCATATGTTAGTCCCGAAATGATCTACCTAGTTTGTGTCGAATGGACGTTAAACCCCATTTATCTCTTTCTCTAATTGAGGTGGAATATTCAAACTTGGTGTAAATCTTCATTAGGTGAATACCTTGACTCAATTTGATGAATTTAATTATCTGCTTTGGCTAAGCTGAGATAAGAAATTTGAATTGGAACATGAAAACTTTGTATCTTATTGAGTCAAAGTAATAAATCTTGGCATATAGTTGCATTACATCAATACCTTGAGGTTATCCTGTTGAAGAAATAAAGGGTGTCAAATGATAATCTTTCTCAGTTTCTTTGATTATTTTCATCCATTATAAGTTTGAAAGAACCATTCCATTATTTAACTTTGGATTTGTTTTCCAACATTTAAAAAAACATGTTTTATTAATCATTTCAGATTAAAACAGATTGAGGAAGGAAAACTGAAAGTTACTGGTGATTCTAATGATATACACCAACTAGGCAGTGTTAAACGTTTAAATACAGATTTAGATAATAGTGTAGATGATCATATTACTAGATTAATAGAAGAGAGAGATACATTACTTAGAACAGGAGTTTATTCAACTCAAGATAAAATTATTGCTGAACTAGATCGACAAATACGGGAATCAATGTCTCAAAAAGTCACTTAGATTTTTAGGAAATTGGGACATAGCATAGCTAGGCTGTCACTCAGATTCCATTTGTCACTGAATGAAATTGACAGACTGACAAATTAGCTGGTCAGTTAAATAAATTGGAATAATTTATATCAGAAACAATACTACCGATAAATCAAATGTTTTAACTGTGGATAAAACAGAAATGTACCAACAAAAATAATATCTTGTTGACAATAGTATGAAGTGAATGCTGTGGAATATATTAGATTGTACAGCATTACCTATATATGTAAATAAAAATGTAGATGTATGTAGCTTTATAAATGATCTAATAATCATTTGGAGAGATTAAATTAATAATTATCTCATATGTACATTTGGAGTGATTTAATGATACATTTAATGATACATTTACATAGATTAAATTGATGATAATTTCATTTTTAATGATACATTTGGAGAGATTAAATTGATAATAATCTCACATTTGATGATACATTTGGAGATATTAAATTGATAATATTTAATGATACATTGATACATATATAATGGAATTTATTTTACAAAGCCGTCCATTTCATTTAGACTTGATTTATGAGTAGTTATTTAAAGTCACTGTGTAACGTTGGCAATTTCAGTAAATATCAAATTTTTCACAGCTCAATGCATGTTAAGATGTACATGGATTGATTATTTAAAATGTAATTAAGAAAGCTAAATCAAAATATCAGCAGTAGATAATATCCCATTATGAATTCAATAAAATTGAAAAGAAGCCTAGCCAAAGATTTTAGCGAAGATTATAAGTGTGACTGGCATTTGATCATATCCCATTTACATCCTCTGCAGGCTATAACTAAACTGTTATGCATTTGCAAGAAGAAAACAAATATTTAAAGATACTAAAGGGGTATTAAGGGAGATCCAATAAAGAACTGACAGTTCTCGTTATAATAGTTAAAAAAAAAATATAACATAAGGAGAATGTGCTGAAAATTTCAGTCAAATTGCTCCAATCTGAACCAAGATATTAGCGATTGATTTTTAGGCCTAGTCTCGATCATCATGTTTATAGTCAGTACAATAATAAACAAAGTCTAGATTATCCATTTTGATGTTAAATCATCCATCACAAAATGTATTCAAATCCAGTAAATATTGCATGCCAGCGATGGCATCGAGCCTTAATTATGGTCTGGATAAGTTAACTATTGTCTAATTAATAATTTAGATAACATTTCAGGCCTAAAGACAGACCTGCAATAGGCAGATATAGCTCTTGCATAATGTATGTTTAAATTACCTTCAGACAGTATAATAAACTACAAATATTTTTAATTAAACGTATTTTCTTTTAATGTTGATGTTTATTGCAATACAGTGAATAAGTTTATCCCACTAAATATATATGTGCATCTTCTACATGTATTTGACAACTTTAAACTATTACCATGACTATGACTAGACTGATATGTAATTGATAGAAGAAAACAAATATTTAAAGATATATTAATGTTAGTACTAACATTGTTATTAAGTTATGAATATGTACTGCTGTAAGGCATGTTGCATGACAATGGTGGGTGCCTTACAATAATACTATATCATTTACTTTTGGTAAAATATATTGTTGATGATATAATTAGGATCTCGACTGTCAAAGAATATATGATAAAAAATTTATACTGGCATTTTATGGTTAAAATTTACGATGCTATCATTTGTGTTTAAAAAATCTTTTCTTTTTGTGGGGTTTTACAGTAAATTTAGAATTTGAAAAAATTTCACATTGATTTTTTCCTATTTACTAAAATCCTGTTGAGAGATGAAAACTGTATGTATATGATTAAATTAAATGAAAGATTATGTTAAGAATTTATATGGTGCATGTTTTCTTGGCATTTGAATGCTTTATATAAGCTTAGTCATTTTATGTTGTCTGTGATTTTGTACCTTAAACAATTTTCTTATTGTAAATAAAATTCTAATATTTATATTAAATTATAGATTTCAATTGTTTATTTTTTGTTATCAAAAAGGGGTAATGGATTGTTTTATAATTATTTATAATAGAACTTATTTAAAAATTGACTTTACTAAAGGTCAACAAAAGAAATGTAAGAAGATGTCTAAAATAAAAGTAATGGTCTGCGTCAACTATTTTCCGAATTCTACGGCAAAATATACACTCTGCCAAATTGTGTCTGAGTGTGTGTACACTCCCGTCGTAATTTAAAAACGACATTTTAGATGATAAATAAAATGACATATTCGTCTTCATTGGTATTAAATACCATTGGCTTGTATTGATATATTTTATACCAAAATAGAATCGAATGGGATTACGTATATATCAAGGTATCAATAACTTTAGACAGCCAGATTTTAGTTAAAAGTAAAAGCGGCATATATACTTTTTCCCCTTGGAAAGAAACTGTATTAAAGGTTTCAGCCCAATTCGGTGCGATATTCCTTGCTGCTCATTTGGCAGTAAACGTCGAAAATAAAAAAAACAATATTTTGGACAAAACTCGACCAACCCAAATAATGTTCCTTGACTATATATCGGAGATGAATTTATATAAGCTCCGGCTTGTTTTCAGATCCCACAATTATATAGTGTACTTTTATAATATGTAAATATTTATTGAATAAATAGTATCAGAAAAAAAATAAGAAAATATAAGCGAAGTATTGAAATACTGATTTTCGTATATACTAAACAGCAAAAAAAAAAACAAAAAAAAAACGTCAGTACGATTTCAAAATCAGAAATGCACTTTAATCAAATCATTCTAGAAAACGACTTACTAAATGGATCAAAGCAATTTTTTATTAACAGTATGTTGACACATTAGTGATTAATTCATCACAATTCCAAGACATTACGAGAAGGTTTAGAGTCTGTGTTCACCGCGAGTGTCAATAACAGCAGCGCAGCGTCTGTACATGGAGTGGACCAGGCGATTGAAGAACGCCATTGGCACCTGGAGTCACACTCCCAGAAAAGCCTTGCGCAACCCATCGGCTATGTTTGGTCTCGGTACGACGCAGGGAGAAACTAGCTCAGAGCAACGAGTTGGGCGGGAGGTGTTTTCAGGAGGTTCTGTAAAATTGACGGACAATGTATATCTATTGCTTTTATGGTCGACAATTTTTTTCTCTTAACCGGGATCAGTAGGCCTATAGAGCACAGCAGGGGTTTTTCTTCTGAAAGTCTACGTTTTACTTCTAGAAGTCTCACTTCTATGTTAAAATCAGGGGTCTGTTTCACGAAATTTTACATAAGATAAAATCCAAATTTTAGTAATTTGATTGGATATTAGATTGGTTTTAGTGCTCAGCCAATCAACGTTGAAGTATCTACTAAAATTTGCATTTTTTCTTTAGTTAAAATTTCGAGAAACAGGGCCCAGGTCTCTTCCAGTTACGTCACTGTATCTAACTGAATAGTTACTTGCGTGCAATAACCTGGAGAAAGGGGTACTTGCGGCCAGCCACGCCACTCCGCCGGGCCTTTTGCACGAGGGCATGTTAAGCTTAGATTACTTCTCTTCAATGTAATGTGTCGCTAGTAGTACAAGTAACTTCAAAATAATATGGCTAAGAGAAAGTCAGTCAATGAAATTTGAATACAATGGATTATCCAACAATATGTATTATAAAATAATGAATGAAAGCCTTATAAGGATCATCTCTTATACAATTCATAATCTGTAGACGTTGATTACCTGAGTATTAATACAGACTTGTAATTAGGATCTAGGTGAATGTAAAATACCGTTACATACATACATAGTCTCGGAGGGTAACACAAGTCATAACCAATAAACATGCTATTTACCAAACGTATTCAAACTTTTTGATAATAAGGACCTTCACACAAGTCTTTCTTTCATAGTATGTTTATTATAGTGTGTATATATTCACAGAATAATAAGCATAGTGTACACTGAAGAATGGTATATGTGTATAGCAGAGCATTAGGCTTATGGATCTACAGAAGCAATAACCTTTTAATGATTGACAACAATAATAACTGAAGGTGTGTTAGGTTTTAAAGTATTTGTACAAGTCAACCAAAAAGTTTCAGAAACTAAAGATGCATTTTATTCACCAAAATGCCGATAGATACGCACCAAGCAATTATCATCTCAAGCCCCCGGAGGGATTTGAGTCTCATGCAGCTCGACGCTCATCACACTGTACCTCACATGGATCTCGTTTGTCCATGGCAGAATCAGGATCCAACTTACACGAATCCAGTCAATTGCTAGAGGAGTCCAGCGAAGATAGTTTTTATAGCAGCACTGTAGATTTAACTAAAGAACACGATTGCCAACACGAAGGGTGTGGACGAGTTACAATCAATGTCAGCGGGATGAAGTTTGAAACCCAGCTAAGAACACTCAACAGGCTTCCTAACACTTTACTGGGTGATCCAGAAAAGCGCATCAAATATTGGAATGAAAGTAGGAAAGAATATTTCTTCGATAGATATAGACCAGCTTTTCCTGCTATTCTATATTACTATCAAAGTGGGGGGAGAATGAAATGTCCTTTAGAAGTACCATTTGAAATATTCATGGAAGAGTTATATTTCTTTGAATTAGGGCACCACACGATCAACAGCCTTAAAGTTCATGAAGGATACATCCTTGATGAAGTTCAAATCAAGCCACCCCGGAACACCATTCAGAGGAAAATTTGGACTGTGATGGAATGTCCAGAAAGTTCGTTTCTGGCAAAAGTTGTTGCATTAATGTCAGTGGTATTTATATGGATATCAGTTATTATTTTCTGTATAGAAACGTTGCCATCTCTTAAAGACATTGGTTGCCGAGATGAAAATATCACAGCCGTAAACGGTACTGTTAGGATCGTGAAAGTTCCTGATTTCACAAATGCCTTATTTATTATAGAATCTTTGTGTATTATGTGGTTTGTTTTAGAGATGGTGATTAGAATCCTGGTTGCTCCATCTAAACTAGAATTCGCGAAAGCCATTGCCAACTGGATTGACTTGGTATCCATTTTACCATACTTCATATTCCTTGGTTTAACACTGTCACTAGGAGAATGTCACACCAATAATAAAAGTGGAATTCTGTCCGTCTTAAGGGTCTTAAGGGTTGCAAGAGTATTCAAGCTCAGCAAACATTCGGAAGGTCTGAAAGTCTTGGGAAAAACTCTCAAGACAAGTTTAAAGGAATTATTTATGTTTGCTATGTTTCTGGCTATTGCGACTGTTATATTCTCTGCTGCTGTATTCTATGCTGAGCTTGATCAAGACCATAGTCAGTTTGAAAGTATTCCAAGTACGTTTTACTGGACTATCGTAACCATGTCAACAGTGGGTTATGGAGACTATGTCCCTGTCGGAATTTTGGGTAAGATTTTAGGAGGCTTCTGTGCCGTTTCTGGCGTATTGACTATAGCCTTACCCGTGCCTGTTATTGTCGCCAATTTCAACACGTTCTATAAGCAAAGTGCCATGAACAAATCATAAACTGCATTTGCGACATATTATGTACTGTTGGTTGGTTGAATGAAACATAAAGACACTGTGATGCAAATAAATATTTTTGTTATACATCTGGATATGTTTATCGGAAGATGCATGCATTCTCTGTGACCTAAAAACATTACGAATTCCAAGACTAGCACCAAATAACATGTAGGAGGCAAAACTTGCACTCTCTAAATTTGAGAAGAATCTGGGAATCAGTAGGCTACACCTCCACATGAAATTGTAAGCTGACATAACAAACATGAGAAACGTTGTTATCGATTCTAAACTGTCGACAATTACGCTTGTTAGAATTATCATTGTTGTTGTTTAATATAAATTTAACGTCCAATTCATAATACATCATATTATGGACAGGTTGATTTAAATAAAATGTGTAATGAAATAATGAGAGAAATATAAAAAAAAATTATATATAATTTAACATGGCAGAGAGAAACATAAAAAAAAGTTCTTTTATATATTTTAACATGACAGTTTTACTTTTTACACACATATTATACATTCGTAGTTTGTTTCTTAAATATAGGATAATGGGCCAATACAAGCCTTAGTAAAATGAACAATTTCGGGTTGGCATGTTACCCCTAAGTGAATAATCTCCCCGCTTTTATTTTTGAAATAATTGCATTATTTTCACTATAATGGTTAGCATTTCGAACATTTGAGGATTATCAAGGTGTGTGTTAACAATAGTTACAAACAGAAAAACCTTTTGATTAACCGATGGGTTGTTGCATTTATTACATCGCGTTTTAAATATTTCTCTCAATTCTATACATGTATTAAATAACATAAAAAATATAGAAATAGAAGACCCCCTACCTCATATGTAACTATAATGATTTTATACATAACTTAAAGCTACAATTTCATATTTTTAAGTTATATTTTTAAAATTTATTAAAATAAAGCCTTAAAATAGATGGTATACATAAACAGTCCTACCTTGTTAAAGAATAATCCTATAATTCACTATTGCCAGCTGAGAAATTGGCAAAAATATCATTTTCAGCTTCAAATTCAAACGTTTGAACATAGCTATTCCATGGAGGTAATAGGAAAACAAGGGAGGTAATTGTGTTATTATTTCCTGTGTCAATGATTTTTAAGGGTGGGAAATAATGCCTATGCTCGTATAATAGTGAGTTGATAACCTAATGAGCAAAAGACATAGAAATAATTATGTTTTGACTTTCTTAGAAAATATGAAATTCTCGCTTTAAAGGGGCATTATGTAAGATTTAGATAAAGAGCTTGTCATTCTTTTCATTCGGGTCTTTGCCTCGTTTCTCCATTTTTAATTAAATCATTAAATGGCCGAAACGTTCTGATCTACTTAAAATTGGAGCCGTCCGATGGCATCGAGATTGGTTATGGTCTTGTCATGATAATAAATGTCTAATTAATAATTTATATAACATTTAGGGCCTAAAGAAAGACCTGTAATAGACAGATTGACATGATGCCTGTTTGACAGGATATTTTCTTTTAATATATATTTTTTATATTATTTTTTGCTACCAGTATTTTATATTAATATACCATTAAAGTATCAAATAACTTATAACTTTGTTTGACTGTTGATATCTTTGTTTTAAATCCCTGAGAATACAAATGAATACGATTACAGAGAGAGAGAGAGAGAGAGATAGAGAGAGAGAGAGTAACCCTATTACTTGTCCCGAGTGTGGCATCGGACTCTCGACTCTAGGCATCGATAGTTGGCCTTATTGACCATTGCACTGAATAATGTCCACCAGGACATCACCAGCACACCCACAGCTACAATCTGCCCCAGCTACAGTAACATAATTCCTCTGCCCCTAATAATAAGGGTAGGGGATGGGGGTGCAACAAGCCCGTCTTCTTGAATAACTACCCCGAATGTACATGTACACAGTTAAAATTATTGGTTTTTGTAGACTGTTTATCAGTCGTGAATCCGATTCCTTTTAAAATTTCCAATGATTCGTTACTTCAAAAGGCTGTGGGCAATGTCAAGGGTTGGGGTAAGGCTTAGGACCAGCAGATTTCGTCAAAGTTTCGAGATGTAAACAGGACTGGCGCTAACGGTGAACCAAGCCTAACCCTTTACCCTAACCCAAACGTACAATCCATATTATATAACGTCATATGTGCAGGACCGTCTCCGATCTAGCGTTCTCCGAACATCTGACCAGTTGATTTGGGAGGTCGCGTCAGAGGTCATACTAGATCTTCATGTAGTGTAGGCCATCGAAAGTATAAAAAAAAAACGAAAAGAAATATAGATCTGTATTTTAATCGGATTGATAAATATTATTTTAATCACAATATGGATACCAACAATTTTCTATTTACATTTATGCGGGTCTATTTATTTTACTTTTTTTCCCCGGACTCCCCTTTTCCTATAGAGGGGATCACGGTGGCTAAGTGGGTAAGACGCTGGCTCGCTAGAGTGGGGGTCTGGTATTCGATCCCTGCATTGGCCGAGAAAGTTTATCCGTCGTGGTTCCCCCTTGTCAGTGATGCAGGGCAGGGGTCTGACAAGGATAGCTGTCTAATCGTTCTGAATGTACGAAAAACCGTGTACACATTGGCGTGCACGTAAAAGATCCCTTGACAGTTGGAATTCGATATAATTATTAAGAGTAGTAAGTAATTTCCCTCACATATTGCAGTTTGCACACTATATTGTGTGTACGCCCGTATTAGCCCAGTTCGGAGGTTGGGTAACACTGGTTTTGATCACGACGATGTTTGTATAACTAAAAATCATGGCTGCCGATGGTCGAAGGCCAACGTCGATATATGTCAAAATAATCTATTCATTGAATGAATGAATGAATGGGGTTTAACGTTTCTGCACCAGCCGGGCTAATGAAAAATAAAAATTGCATGAATACACTTTATTTCTATTTCATATGAGTTCTCTAGAAAGCACGAATTAAAATTAATGTCATTGCTTGTTTATGCAATTGAATATAAATTATTCTTATAACGTCTTCTGGTTTCGAAAACATTTGTTACCGAACAATGAGGTCTACTTTGCTAGGGGAGCTTACTCGCAATACGCGTTCTTTACTATCGGAGGAGTAAATAGTAAATATTTTTCAAAATGTAAACAAATACTTGACAACCAAGAAATCAACTAGAAGTGTCTGGTCACCGACTTCTACTTTTATTTTTAGTGGCCTAAACGTAATCATGGCAGCTAATATTGTTGCATCTAAGCTTTATATGAGCAGAGAAACCCAAAACAGACTTGTTGGTTCTTCTGGTTTAGGAGAAATTGGCTCTGTTTGTAAGTTATTGAGGAAAAGAATCGACCCAAACATTCGTGATGAAGAAGGCGTGACCGCTTTGGCACGTGCCTGTGCAGGTGCGTATCACATTTCAGACATGTTTTGATGTGTATTACATAGGCATGGCGTAATATAGTTACTTTAGTTACGAATTGTATCGGCGTGATATATCTGTGAAACAGATTGAGGCGTGGCATGCAGTGAATATTCTAGTAAACAAGAGAACTGAAGCCACCCCGAGTTTTTTTTGTTTTTTTTTAAAAGGATCGTGAAACCTGCCACCGTTGGTAATCAACCGACGTGTAGGGATATAACAGTGGCATTATTTAAATTTGTTGTTTAAAAAATGTGATTTAGAAAACCTACGTGTAGTATTTCAATTGGTGATGTCCATCGGGAGGTGCAAAATTTTCGAGGCCTTTTGCAGCTTTCGTACCCGTCCCTTTTCTGGACGACCCTGTTTAAAGTTGTTCTTAGATCTATTTATAAGACCTGTTCTATCATTCTATGTATTATAAAAGGTGGGTTTGGTGAAGTGGTGAGAATATTGTTGGAGGCGGGAGCTGATGTCAATAGTAGAGTTCAATCTCAAGTTTCACCATTACATATAGCAGCTAAAGGTTGGTTAATTAATGTGCCTATTCATAAAAACGCTTGTACTGTTTAATGTTCGAGAATAAACCCTAGACCAGCAAGTAGTATGGTCAATAAACACGGTTGTGCATAATTTGACATTTTTCGACTCATTCCTTCACACCTTGCGATTTTTCCAAGACGATTTTAAAAAAAAGTGAGCTTTAATTTATGGATATAAAGAATGACGGACATACATATTAACAAAATAAATTATATTAAAACTTATTCTTGTGGAGCCATGCAGGGTTATTACATTTTCCCCCAACCGTTGACTTTCGAAATAATCCTGATATTTAATTTTTATTTAACTTTTGTTAAAATGATAACATCTATATTCCCAAGTCGCATCTATCAGTGGTTGACAAGACGTGGTCATGCACTGGTGTCAGATAAATTGGCACACCCCGATTCCATGCGAATTTTGTAAAAAAAAAAAAAATTGTCGATTTATTGGGGTTTTTTTTATATACGTGTACGGTGTGCATGCCGGTTTCTCTTTTGGAAAATTTTGCTTGGTTCACATTTTGATATCTATAGATAAGGCCAGTGTTGAGGTAACCGATTCTGTGTTCAGAGGTCAGTCAGAATCTAAAATGGAACAAAAATGTAAACAAACCCAAATATGCTCAATAACCTCAATATTTTATTTTGACATGGATCAAAGTTAACTTTTAAGTTCACGTGCAGTATAGGTCTACAGGTGCCGTGACATGGCATCGGCAACACGTGCGTTGCTTACATCAGACATAGTAACGATGAAATGAAATGGGTTTTTTAAGTCCTGCTGTTCTGCTCCGTACTGGGCTAATGATTACGGCCATACAGTGTGCTATGAGAGAAATTTGGCCAGGACAGCGGAACTGTGACCTACTCTTATATCGAATTCCAACTGTCAAGGGATCTTTTACGTGCACGCCAGTGTGTACACGGGACCTCGGTTTTTCGTCCCATCCGAACAACAAGATAGTTGTCCTTGCCAGTCCCTCCGTCCTGCATCACTGATAAGGGGGAACCATTCCGGCGCCGGAAATGCAGGGATCGAACACCCGACCTTCAGGCTAGCGAGCCAGCGTCTTACCCACTTAGCCACCGAGACCCTCCAGACATTGTAACACAAACTGGTACGGCAGAATTGGCGCCTGTTACTCATTACTAAATAGGAAATATATTCTATCCAGGTATACTGCAAACACCGTTATTTTTGTTGTTAATAAGTTTAAAAATTGTTTTACAATGTAATTTGTAGAAGAAAAAAGGTTAATATTTTAATAAGAGCTAATTAATTCGCCCATTCCTCTCAGTGATGGTAGCGGCCAATCGAATATTTACAGCTGATCAGTAGCGGTCGTCCCGGGGTTTAAAGGACAATATTGGTGCCAGTCATTATCCCATAACAACTTTTGGTCTTTGAAAGAATTATTAGTGAGCAGAAATTCGCCCATGTATCTGTTATCACTCGTCACTTCAGTCACTCGTGTTTTCCTTTTGCGTTCTTCACTTCCGAATGTTCTAGCAATGATCACTGTGATAAAATAATATTTGGAGCGTGTTTAAAAAGTTCTATCACATATGTGATAATGACTGGCACCAATATTGTCCTTTAAATCAACAAATATTTAGATAAGAGAAAAAAGTCGTATAGGACCTTGTATATCGGTTTATTAATGCTTGGTATAATCTATTTTCAGGTAACCACGTGGAGGTTGTAAAGCGTTTGGTTTTGGCAGGAGCTAATCTAGACGCTGAGACTATATCAGGCGTACGACCTATCGACTTTACTAAAGTCAACTCAGAATCCTGGACAATTTTAAGTGAGGCAAAAAAGGGAGAAATGCCGGAATTAGAGGAAATTCTAGAGGTTCCGGAAATTCCAGATTTTGCCATTGGAGATGGCACTGCAAAGACAAAAAAGACGAAAAGTGGGAAAAAGAAGAAAGGAGCAAAGGGGAAAAAAGGGAAAAAGGGGAAGAAAAAAGGAAAAAAGAAGAAGTAAAAAAAACAACTGCCTTATCTTGCCTGTTTATGGTGTCATGGACAATCATAATTAGAAACCATAGTCTAATGTAAATAGTGTATGATCTGCTGTTGAAGGGAACATTTTCTGTAAATTATTTCCAAGCATTTGTATATTTATTTGCTGTTACAGATTATTTTAATAGATATTTAGGGTAAGGATAAGCATTTGTTAGAAAGGCGGGGTTGCTTTCACAAAATCTTAGGACCTAGACTACAAAAGTACCGTGTGTGTGCCGGAGGTGTGAGTCCATAATGGGATATTCTTGAAAGTGTGTTGAGGTGTGTTTAAAATTGGATCTGGTTTTGTGAGGACAATCTTTGTCATGAACATAAATCAAGTATGGTGTTTGGCATTTTGAAGTATTAATAATGGTACGTTATTACACCCCTGCGTTTCCAACCATAATGTAATAATTACTTATCTACGTTAGTTTTGAAAATAATATTTCTATCATTTGGTCTGTAAATGTAGTTGAATTATTCATCTAAGTTATTTTTATCAGTTCCTAGTGTCGCCATAGGCGTACGAGCCAGGGGGCGGGGGACATCTGCCCCCGAAATTTCGGGCAATCTGACTTTTTGGGC